TGGTTGATAGGTTAGTTGGTTGACTTGGATTGGTTGGTTGGTTGGTTAGTTGGTTGACTTGGATTGGTTGGTTGACTGGTTAGTTGGTTGACTTGGATTGGTTGGTTGATTGGTTAGTTGGTTGACTAGGATTGGTTGGTTGATAGGTTAGTGGTTAGTTGGTTGACTTGGATTGGTTGGTTGACTGGTTAGTTGGTTGACTTGGATTGGTTGGTTGATTGGTTAGTGGTTAGTTGGTTGACTTGGATTGGTTGGTTGACTGGTTAGTTGGTTGACTTGGATTGGTTGGTTGATAGGTTAGTGGTTAGTTGGTTGACTTGGATTGGTTGGTTGATAGGTTAGTTGGTTGACATGGATTGGTTGGTTGATAGGTTAGTTGGTTGACATGGATTGGTTGGTTGACTGGTTAGTTGGTTGACATGGATTGGTTGGTTGGTTGGTTAGTTGGTTGACTTGGATTGGTTGGTTGACTGGTTAGTTGGTTGACATGGATTGGTTGGTTGACTGGTTAGTTGGTTGACTTGGATTGGTTGGTTGATTGGTTAGTTGGTTGACATGGATTGGTTGGTTGACTGGTTAGTTGGTTGACTTGGATTGGTTGGTTGACTGGTTAGTTGGTTGACTAGGATTGGTTGGTTGACTGGTTAGTGGTTAGTTGGTTGACTTGGATTGGTTGGTTGACTGGTTAGTTGGTTGACTAGGATTGGTTGGTTGATTGGTTAGTGGTTAGTTGGTTGACTTGGATTGGTTGGTTGACTGGTTAGTTGGTTGACTTGGATTGGTTGGTTGATAGGTTAGTTGGTTGACATGGATTGGTTGGTTGATAGGTTAGTTGGTTGACATGGATTGGTTGGTTGACTGGTTAGTTGGTTGACATGGATTGGTTGGTTGACTGGTTAGTTGGTTGACATGGATTGGTTGGTTGACTGGTTAGTTGGTTGACTAGGATTGGTTGGTTGATTGGTTAGTGGTTAGTTGGTTGACTTGGATTGGTTGGTTGACTGGTTAGTTGGTTGACTTGGATTGGTTGGTTGATAGGTTAATGGTTAGTTGGTTGACTTGGATTGGTTGGTTGACTGGTTAGTTGGTTGACTTGGATTGGTTGGTGGACTGGTTAGTTGGTTGACTTGGATTGGTTGGTTGGTTGGTTAGTTGGTTGACTTGGATTGGTTGGTTGACTAGTTAGTTGGTTACAGGTTTATCCTCTCATTGATTTGTCCTATTTCTACGAGTTGTCTCACCAATGAAAGTCATTGTTATATCTTGGCTTCTGCGTGAATCATGCTCTTTTATCCCAACTTTTCTAGGTTTTCAAACATATCCTGGGATGGCACATAAATTGAAAATTAATATCATAATTCATCCAAATAATGTATACAATACATTTCATTAACTACATAACAGATTCATTAGCATACCAAATTTTAATATTTGTATTTTGATAGCAGCCCACTATTTTATCCTGACACAGACAATTTTCAACTTTCCTGCTTATCTTGTTGTAGATCAGAAAGTAATAGTATCATTTTGTCACTGGTGTCATTCATCATTTAGATATTTTGATAATTATATTATTCTATTTCAAGCTGATACAGATTATTATACATAATTTTTCCACTTAGCCTGTTTTCTATCATTCTGCAGTGAAACAGATGTGGGTTTGATAGGACTTGTCACTGTTATCTATCCCTAATTAGATCTAGGCCAGGTCAAAGATCATATCCTAGTTAGCTTCATGGATCTATTTCATATTTTGAAATTGAAATTTATGAAATAACATATGAAGCATATAAGAAAAAATGCCGTTTTGGGTTATCAAAGTAATATTTCATCTGTAAAATTTAATAATTTAGATATTAGATTTGATGAATATTTCAAGATACATTTATTAAATTAGGTTTCAAAAATAGTTTCCTCTTATTAAAATTTAGATTTTTTTTCTCCACAAATTTATCTAAAAGTTTTACTTTAAATTCCTGAAGTTATTGGTATCAGGATGCATTTTGATAATTCTTTGTTTTTATATTAAGATTTTATTAAGCTGACAAGTTTTGAAGGTTTCGGATTGTCCTTGCCACAATAATTCACTTCCTGTATATATAGGAGGCCTTACCACACATTCTGTGTAGTAGATAAGAACTCTACACTCTCTGATAAGTATAATCAAACTGTCCTGAAGATTTATGCTTTTGTTAGGATATTTTCAGACTTTGGATAAAAAAGATCAGGAAAATGTCAGTAATGATGACAAATTTACGATTCCCTTTGGTATTTTTGGAAGTCCTTATTGTTAAACTGATGATGAGACAGGGAAGTTATGGGTAGATTTCAGAGTATCTGTTGGAGATTTACAACAGTATGTCATCGATATCAATAAAAAAAACTTGTATAATAATCAGGCTTCCTTGTTGTATGTAAATCTGTGTTAAGGTTAGCAGTGTATAGGATGTCTATTTAACTTGGAGTGTACTCAAATCATTATGCATTGGCACTACACCGAGTGCTTAGTAAGTCTAATATAGAGCATTGCATTCACCTCCCTCATACACCTTATTAAATGATTGACATTTCTTGTAGTGCAACCACACAAAAATAGAAGGCTGATGTATATAACAGTCAACAGACTCTTTACTGTTACATATATGTTTGTAGATAATTAGTAAAATGTTGGAACTGATCCCAAGATTATAAAGCAATATATATCCTTTCTTAAAATGATTTAACAAGTTGATGATTGTCAAGGTTTTTTTTTTCTTTTTGTAATTTCAAGGAGTAAGTTTTTGTTTTTATTTTTGAAGACTAACTGGCACCTTTATAAATTAATTCCATTATACAAAATTAAAGCTGTCAGTTGTGTCTGAAAGTCCCTTGACTGGCTTGTCCCTCGCATGGCTCCAGAGAGGCAGTTGATACGAAAGCCTTTTTACTGTTTTTATGCTATCAAGTTAACTTATAATAAGATAATTGTAAAATGACTGGATTTTATGGTGTATGGATTTGATCCAATTAATGGTGAAGCTCCTAGTAGTGGGAGATCTATACACAGAATACGCTGCCAGTCTGAGGGGATAATTAAAACCACTTTTTCTACATACCCCACAAATTGAATTACCACTTGAACTGATTTGGTGTGTAACTAAGTATGTGATCATTCCCTTTGAGAGTGGAGCTTTATGTCTATAAGTTAAACATTGGTGTAATAGTTCTTTTTATTATACTGTGATTATATCATTCACTTCTTGTCATATCTTGGTTAGATTATTGGCAATACTCTGATTACTATTGGTACATGGAGCAGCCAACTTACATTACATCTTATATAAGTAAATTTTTTTTAAGCAATTACAAATGGTTCTGAATTTTCTCATAAGGTTTGTCATCAGAAAATTGTCTAAACCCCAATCCTTATGGAAATGGAATCACATGAACTTTTGTCATAATGAATCACTACTACAGGGACTAAGTGGTAATTAATGTTATTACAATATGTATAAGTTTATATACTACTCAGGTATATGTAAGTTAGTTAAGACAGTTATAAGACTCCGGACATAGGTAAAATCACTGTAATATGACCTTATGTGACGACCTGGTGTTGGTCACATGACTCCTATGGTGTTGTCCACACTATGTCCTGTGAATCATTATTGATTCCGTTAGATCACAGGTTACTTATGGTATAGATTTCCTTGTATAATAAAATTAATTATTTTGCTTACAGCAGGGTTAGAGTAAATATTCCTCAGAGGGTATTTATAACCATATGGCTATTCCCACTCCTCCAGACCCTTGCTGACCTTAAGGCCCAATCTACATAAGTTATCTGTGTCTGTGATAAATTCTCTGTGGACCCCATCCAAGGACCTGGAAGGTCTCCTGTGGCCCCTCCATCAGTGATAAGGGGAGCAGATATTAGAAAAGCTGAACTAATTATTTAGTCAACAACACCAATATTTGTATACCCCCTGGCCAGCTGAGTTAGGTCAGAAATACTAATATTTAGTTAGCCTCCAAGTAGAGTCCAGGTGATGGCAAATGCACTCTTCACTTAGTCTCTATATCACAAGATACATAACTGTAACCAGTGGTATATGTACAATAATCAAACTACTGTCTGTGGGGCATCCTATTGTACTTACATGTAGATAGGAGTATATGCATGCATGTGTCGTAAGAGAAAAAAAACTTGCGTAAAAAAACAGTGTAGAATGTGGTTATTTTTGGCAGCAATGCCACATTTACAAAATGATGTAACTATACCACCAAGCACACCATACAATTTCCACTTGTCATCATCTTCATTTACACCCAACATCTACTAACCTCCCATTCCACCTCATTATCCCCTCCCCTTTATCCCCCATCTACTCCCTCTTACACTTCCTGCCAATACATGTCTTCTAACTTTCTACCTAGTACCCTTCCCTCCCCTGAATCTCATTTCTCTGGTCATCCCTCATACTTTTTACTTTTCCTATATATATATTATTGTTCCTCTTCCTTCCGCTCAACTTCCAGTCTCTTCCTCTCTATTGTCTGCAGCTGATGCTGTTAAAATGTTATGCTGTAGCAGAATCTCTTTACATTATTATCATTAGATAAGTTACCACACATTTATACCATATTCTAATTTCCTGTTACTTGGACTTAACAATATCCGTATCCAAACAGACTTCAGTTTCTAAATGTACAGTTTAAGAAAAATGTGTGTATTGTCATCCTGATACACATTTCAATGAAATAAATTTGATGTCTAATTTTCCTTTCAGTCACTAATTATACATTTTACACTACTGTAGAAATACCCACTCGTCAACTGCATTATACCAAACACAACATAAATCATGCAATATTTTATAATACATGTATAAACAAACTTAACCACATTATGGATTAGACTGACTCTACTGTTTTCACTTCTGCTTTATATTTTACAATTTGCAGTATCATCAGTTGTACATATAGTTCATTATTTGACTCTCCTTATTTTAACGTTACAGACATTGGCGAAGGCTGTTTATGACAACTATGCGGAAACACCAGATGAGGTGGCGTTTCGTCGAGGTGATATCCTAACTGTGCTTGAACAAGACACTGGTGGACTGGAAGGATGGTGGCTGTGCTCCTTCCGTGGAAAACAGGGCATAGCTCCTGGCAACCGATTGAAACTGTTGACAGGGATGCATGAAACAGGGGATGTAACTCTGGATAACAGTCGAACATCAAATTCAAGCTTCGATATGGGCAAAATGGTTAGTACAATTTGTTTTGAGATATTCAGCATTTTCTGAATATATGGATAGATCCCAATCACCAACTGTTACCTGTCCCTTTACTGGTAACAGATACAAAGCTGTATGGGTATTAGGGTAGTTAGATTCATTGTGTTCTCTCTTCTGCCATATTTGAGGATGGGATAATTATTAGTTGAAAAGTAGTTACCTATGAAATAAAACTAATGGAGTTTGTTTCGTGCCATCAATGAGAGTATATTCCTTTTAGTTAGAGCTTTTGTCAATACATGGAAATTTGAACCATCAAGAAAAAAAGACAACTTAATACATACGATATTAAGGAGTAGCTGGCCTTGAGGTGAACTTGTGGAACTCAAGTCACAAGATGGTATATAAAACCACACTAAGACAGGCAGGTTAGTGGCTGTAATCACTTGATGTAAATCGTAATAAATATACCTGTCAGGTAACTAATCAGCAGGCTCAGGTATGGACTTCTAATTCCAGGTGCGGAGTAGATAGGCACACACCTGTGGGAAGACTCCCAATGTATACATTGACATTTGATATCATGTTTAACCCATCCTAACACACATTTTATAACTACTCCTTTATAATATGAACAGTTTCATGTTTCGTATTGATAATGATGCAAATGTTTTAGATCTAGGAAAACTCTAGGGCCAATAACACAATTCATATTGTTGAGGTTTCATAACGTAATCAGAAAGAAATCCGAGTATCTGGTCGTTGTTTTTAAGTATACATTTGCATAATTCATATCAAATTTATTCTAAGGAATTTTATATTCTTTAGAAATTTAGTTTAAGGCAACAGCTTGCAACCTACATCTAAGGAAATATACATCCTGTTTCAATAATGGCAGAAATGGATTATGGATAAGCACACATTATCCGTGAAAAATACACTTGAACATAATTTACTTTCATGCTGTGTTTACCCCATCTTTCAGAAATTCCTCTTTATGTTCCCAGTAGATAAAAGCACAGACTTTTGTAAAACTCAGGAAGAAAAACCATCACTTTCTCTTTCTATCAGTAACTCTACTTGATGTCTTTGTGACCCATGTCAGTATCTGAAAGACATTAGGTTATCTATCAAACAGATTTGCTCTGTTAAAGCCTGTCTTTAAGGTTGATCCTGCATGCGTCCATGTCTTAATCGGAACTCCCAGACCTGTCAGAATATGACTCAGTTCATAATGCAGACTGCAGCTAATCAGATGATTAATTGACTTTCTTGCTGGATCATCAGGTAGTTATACTTTCAACTCACAGCTATTTGTAAGCAGGTTAAAGATAAATGTAATGAGGTTGGTGAGGTAGTAACACTTAGACATACATGCGACGTCTAGCTTCCACTAAGAGGAACGACAAGCTTCTGTGTGATTCAGATACAAAAGATGGCAAGTGTCTCACAGATGCAGATTAGATGACAAAGTACTCTACAGCCCACATTAACAAGAATCTGAAGTCAATACACGAGACTTCATCTTGACAAGTTACATGGTCATCAAACAAGATATCTTGTAAAGTCATAAAGAGTCTGAATGACATAGATTACAGAGATAGGAAACTTTAACTTTGAGGAACACAGGATGACAAAAGATTTTGTTCTGTGAGTTACAAAATAAAAAATAGAAACATGCAACCTACACTAATTATACATAACAAAAATGCAAGTGAAACATTTTATCAGTAAAGTTGTTCCATCACCGTAGTTTGCATATAAAACTAAGGTTAATTCAAAATTTTAAAATCTATTATCATTATAGCCATAAACTTGAATTGCTCCAACAGTTGAATGTCATTCATTGCGCCAATGTTTTAGATGATGTAGTGAGATGTTTTTAGGAAGTGAAAGGAGCAACAGCTGTTCTCGGGTCATCTAAGGACAGTTTCTGTATGTCATCTGTCCTTCAGAACTACCTCCAAACAGATGTCACACAGATAGTGTTTTATTCTGTCAGATCTTACCACAGATCACACGCTACCCTTCAGGCAAACCTATTAGCAAAATCAGAGCATAAAAATTTTGCCTCATTTTCATCACAGGGACATAAATCTGCCTCAATAATCCTGCCAGGTATAAGCACTTTAGGATGAAACAGGGTTTTTATTTTAGTTTTTATCATTGGTAAACCTTTTTTTTTTCATTTAAAAAAAAAAAGGGGCTGTTGGGTCACATATCGTTAGGCTATGTCATTACATTTGTGTTTTAGATAGATGACGAGACAGATTAAAGAGATGTTTGTATCCATTAATTGTTATATTGTTATATCACAATGTGATGCAATTAATACAACAGATGATGAATGTAAAAGTACATTCAAGACCATACAGTTCATATAACACAACTAGTAGAAGATTTAAGTGTGATGTTTTGACAACTACACAGACAAGTGACCAGTTTAAAGCATACTAGCATGGACGTACATAGTGTATGAGTTGGTAAGGAATCAACCAACTTATTAAGCTGTACTATAATCATGTAATAAGATTGTAAACAGATTATAGAAAGAAGTGCACAAGATGGTAATGTACTGTTGTGGATTCGGCTAGACTGTTTAACATTATTCGATTGACATTACCAGCCTGAAGAAAATGTTCAGAAAAATGTTATTCTTTCATATGTTTTGGTCACTATGGTCAGTTTTGTTTGGCTTCAGCATAGTGCTTTGAAACAAACATTTCTGTAAATGTAAATTTTAGTTGCAGAATATAAATTCTTTGCTGATTTCTCCCAGTGTTGGTTACATAATATGCCGGTTGTTTAGAGAGAAACGTCAGGATGTGATACCTGTCATTTAGAAAGTGAGTGATTTAGAGGGAATGTTATCTCATCTAGTAAAACTTGAGAGTATATTGAATTTTGTCCAGATTTTAAGAAAAGCAATAGGACAACGCCTTCATTGGATATCTAAACAGAGATAAGGGTCAAGTGTCGTGAGTGATATTTTTGCCAGTATACAGTGATATGACAGATGAGCCTTCCATTGTGAGGAGGTCTGGGCTGGCCTTTGTGATTGAGTGTTGGTCCATAATGGACCCAGTAATTTGAAGCCTTGAGGAAGAAATCCACAATACATATGTCACATTTTGACTGTCAGTAATATGTAGCCCACTGAGAGGTTTGATAATAATAATATACCCAGGTAGTTTGAGGGACAGAACATACTGCTTTGTGTCAACTTAGTGTAGATCAACTTGTTACTTTGTACCCAGGAATCTGTGGAGGACGGTACAAGTGTCGTGTTAGGATACTAGCCCAGGTGTATTTATTGGTCAAGATAGTTGCCTTATCCTAACCGCCAGTCAAATTGAAATTTAATGCTAGTTTGCCTTTGTGTACAATTTGTATGGTAATAAACTTATCAGTTTTGTGTGTTTTGTGAGAGATTTTGATTTAGTGGTGCTTGGATCTGATTAAGGCACATCATACATATTTGATATGATGGGGTTCAAAACTTTTCCCAATAAAATTAAACAAGCTGTGGTCGTTAAAAATAAAATTTGTCAGATTGGCTCGTGATGATTTATTCCAAGTCTTTATGGCAGTAGATTGTTAATTCAACACAGATAAAGTTCAACAACAAATCATGTTTTTTTGGCTTTAATTAAAACTATCAACTTGAAATTTATCAGTCTTGTACATCTGCAGAAAACTAAAATCTTTCCAGAATTTTATCTATACAGATAAAATGGTAATTGAAATCCTTAGATCTGGCACAAAACTGAAAAATAAACTTTTTGGCTACATAAATGCATTGGAATCAAAGAAATTCTAAGTTTTAAGTTTTTGTCTGTCTGGGTTTAAAATAGAATTTAGATAGATTTTTCACAAGTGCATTGGAATGTGGCAGTTGGTGTTATCTTTGGGGGACCTTCAGATTTAAGTGAGCTGGAAATCTTTTGCTTATCCACCCAACTGTCTAGAGATAGCCATTTAATAATTCCCTCAAAATTGTTTGGATTTTAAATGTAAACACACTTTGCACCTGATTCTACACATACAATGTTCCTGATTCTACACTTACAATGTTCCTGATTCTACACTTACAACGTTCCTGATTCTACACTTAAAACGTTCCTGATTCTACACATACAATGTTCCTGATTCTACACATACAATGTTCCTGATTCTACACTTAAAACGTTCCTGATTCTACACATACAATGTTCCTGATTCTACACTTACAATGTTCCTGATTCTACACTTACAATGTTCCTGATTCTACACTTACAATGTTCCTGATTCTACACATACAATGTTCCTGATTCTACACTTACAATGTTCCTGATTCTACACTTACAATGTTCCTGATTCTACACTTACAATGTTCCTGATTCTACATTTACAACACTCCTGATTCTACACATACAATGTTCCTGATTCTACACTTACAATGTTCCTGATTCTACACTTACAACGTTTCTGATTCTACACATACAATGTTCCTGATTCTACACTTACAATGTTCCTGATTCTACACTTACAACGTTTCTGATTCTACACTTACAACGTTCCTGATTCTATACTGACAACTCCCTGACTTGTAAAAATATGCTTGTCTGCATTGAAGACAGGAGTATATTGTTTTTATTTCACAAATCATGCAAAGTTGATTTTATCATGGGAGATAACCAGGTTATGTTGATGACATATTTCAAATCATGTTATTAAAAAAATGCTATAGTTTCTTCAAAGTTTCTTTGTTTTATTCTGTGTCTTCTTTTTATTTTTTACAAATTCATAATCCATCATCTGTTGTTTTGGATTGTCGGAAAGTAGGTAAATATGATTATAGGTCATACACCTGGTCAGGTAAATAAGGTGTTCGTACATCCCTGTCATAATCAGTTTTATGGGTCTAAGGTCATTATCCCTTGTCAGAAGTAATATAAGTAAGGTCAAGTAAGCACAGCTTTAAACAGGACACAGTTTGTATATGTTCTGCTGAAAGTGTTTTGTCTGTTAAAGGGGATCATACATTTTCT